TCTAAATAAATACCTTTTTCTTTTAAAGTGACTGTCACATAAAAGTGGACATAATGGAAAAAATCGGTGTATATATTTAAAAACAGCATAAAATATTCTATAAAATTCAGGTATTTTGATATGTGTGTTAAAGAAAGGTTCGAATATGTATGATTTTGGGCGAGATGCTTTGGAAATAGCTTTGGGTAATTCGTCCGAATAGCCGAAATATACGAGCCTAAAACAAAATATTAGAACTTGCTGTAACTTTATGCCGTTGCGAAAGAAGAAAGCGGGAGAGAATACAACTGAAGAATTTATAGAAAAATTCCAGTGTTCTTGAGTACACAGTTTAAATAGGATTTTATCGGATTAAGTGTTCCGATTGGTTTAGATCTACTTCTTCGCTTCCGAATTGTTCGCCACTCCGTTTCCGTATGTAAGATACAGATTAGGACGTGACAAAGGTCGATGGTCTGAGTACAATTCCACTTGTCATTTGACTCTGTCCGGAATTGTTTATTGATCTTTCACCTCTTTCACTTGATACGTTTTACGGTTGTTATATGTTTATAACGAAAAGAAAAAGAAAGAAATAGGGTATCGTGTCAAATTTGAACTATCCTAAATAGATCCATAAAATAGACATTTTACTGAATTTTTGAGATTAACAAAGCAAATTTTCTTTGAATTTTCATATATAGAATATTTAATGAAATTACGCTCTCGTTTAAATTGTGTCAGCAAATTATTTCGAGTACTCGAACGTAATTTAATTAAATAAAAATCCTGCTTAATTTCGTTATTCTTCAATCATTTTTCTTGTTTTTTTTAAAGTTTTTATAGTTTAAGTAAGATAAACTATAACTTTACAATATATATTTATAAGATTTATATAATTTTAATGATAAAAGTTTTACGCTTTAATGCAGAAATAATATAAATCTGTTTTTCTGGTTTACTCATCGTTGATATTTTTTCTTTTCAAGCAATCTCAACAACAGGACAAAGAACAGAAATTTTTAAAGGCCTCTTCTAATAAAACATCGTCTGCACTAATAAGTACAAATAACGAAAACAAGGATGATGAACAATGTAAAGCAGACCACAAAGACGATATTCCTAGATTGTCGGTAATAGTATTTCAATGTCATTTATGTTCCTTCAGCACTCGGTCGAATGAGAAATGGTTAGAACATAAGCAGTGCCACATTGAAGACATTCCTTCCACGTCCACGGTACTTATTCTATTTATTCTTTGAAAATAAATTGTACTGTACTTTTAAGAATCCACGTTTTAATTGAGTGAAGTTTTCTCCCTAAACTCCATCTTCTGCAGTTGGTTCGTAAATTAAGCACTACTCGATATTGTTCTGATGTTGGTTCGATGAAAGCTCACTTCCACAATCAAGACAGACCTGTGAATTGGCTCTACTGCGGTTCGTCCGGTCTCAGCCCTTACCCGTCCCAGAGATATCCCGCAGAGAAGTATACTCGCTCTTTCTGTCTATACCCCGTTCGCACCGAGCATTTCGATCTAGATTGTGGCTAAGGTCGGAGAGAGTTCCGTGGTGCGAACGCTCTCGACCGTTTCAATCTCGACTGAAACGAGGCTAAATCGCGATCGACTGGAGAGAGTTCTTGAAACTATATTCAGTCATAAGAGAGATCCCACAATCCCACGCGCGCGAGAAAATACAAGATGGCTGCTGAACACGTGTCGGGCTATCGATAGAGAAATAAAAAAGACATCTGGAGAGACGATGACATTTGTGTATTATTAAATATATGGCAAGAAAAACTATTTATTTCTAACCAAAACGTCCATTTTGTTTGTTGGTGTTCGTGACTTATCGCGTAGTTATGTCAGTTTTATCATCGCGTGTAATAGCCGGGTTCTTCTCGAGCGAGTTACCTGTGCGAACAGCACGACGTTCGACTGGCGACAATCACAATCCAGATTGTAGGTAAATCGAGATCGAAGTGAGTCGTGGATTGTGTGCGAACGGGGTATAACCTCAGCGAACTTTCCAAGTGTCTGAGACTTCCGTGTTACTAGTCCAAAGTTTTTTTTCTCTTTCTCCCGCTCGCTCTCTAATTTAAGGACTTTTTGGGCAGGAATTCCAACCAATTACACATTTTCATTGCAAAGAGATTTTACTCAGATAAGTTTAGATCGGATGAGGGTGGTCACTCACTACGATTTGGCAAGTTGTTTACGACTGAACAAACCTTGAATCAAATTAGCGAGGTCAGCGTTTTTTTGTTCCCTTTTTGTTTACAAGCCAATACGTCACATTGTGTTTTTAAGAATTCGTGTTTTAATTAAATAGAATTGTGCATTTTGGTTTATGATTTAAATTTTACAGATTACAATTAACTGCTAATGATGTATGAAATTCTGATAACCTGATTGCTGTAGTTAATGACTTGTTAATTACCTTCGAATTAAGTGTTTCATTTAGCTGAGATAGTGCATAATCGCATATGACTTATATGAACTTTATTCACACCTTGTCAGCAGAAAAATCATATAGTAAATGGCCTAACAACAAACCACAGGTAGTCTCTCGTACTATATTGCATACGAAAGAAACTTAAATTAAACGACTGTAAATTACATAATCAGCGGTAAATATAATTTACCATTTGTGTCAGTTCATGTCGGTAAATATGATAAATCGTACTTAATTAAATACTCTAATTAAATTTACCGAACATTATGCACAATCGCCATTCGGAAAAACAAATTTGATAAATGGTAAAGGCTGGTCGAGTAACATTTGATTAGAATGTTACAAAATTTAGCACTGAACCAACAGATAAAGATTTCTGCAGTTCATGAATAACAGATTATATTATCGATGTGTTAAGTAGCACTGATAAAACCATGCTTGGTTCACACTTTACTGTTAGACTGAAGACAACATCCCTTCTTAATAATGCTGTAGCAGACGGTTGCAGCGAAGATTAGCTTTAACCAATAATTGAATTATTAGTTAAACATCATTACATCTAAATATATAAAATTGCTTGTCCTGACTGACTGACTGACTGAATGACTCACTCACTGATTCATCATCGCCCAGAGCAGACCGCTTAACCTAAAGAGGTGAAATTTGGTAGACAGTTAGGGTACGTCATGGAAACGCACACTAAGAAGGGATTTTCCGAAATTCCTCCGCGGGGGGAGAGGGAGAGGATTAAGGCTTAACCGGAAAAACGGCTTCTACTGCACTATTTTAGATGCAATTTTTTGTTTTTATCTGCGTTATGGTAGGGTATGCCATGGCAATGCACACTAAGAAGAGATTTTTCGAAATTTCCTTGCAGGGGGAGAGGGGGGAGGATTAAGGCTTAACTGGAAGAACGGCTTCTACTGCACTATTTTAGATGCAATTTTTTGTTTTTATCTGCGTTATGGTAGGGTATGCCATGGCAATGCACACTAAAAAGAGATTTTTCGAAATTTCCTTGCGGGGGGAGAGGGGGGAGGATATAGTCTTCATTGAGTACTTAGGTGTATTAAATTAATAACATTTCAGACATTGTTATAAATATTTTTATCCATTTTGATTTTAAAAATGTTCGAACCGTTTTAAATTCAAATTTGTTATTGCATATTGGTTCGATTATAGAACGATTGTAAACATTCCAAAAAATTGATCAAAGTGAAAATAGTTCGTTTGATTCTCTGCAATTCTCTTTAGCGGTAGGTGTTATATAACAATTACTATGGTTATTGAAATATTGAATGTAAATGGGGTTTGCTTGCAAAACCTTCGCGTACGAAGTCGCGGGTAACAGCTAGTATTGCATATATCCAAGGATTATATTTTAGAAACAGTATTGACAATCAACAGCCGTCATCATAAATTCTGATGTGAATATTCCTAATTCGTCAATGTAAGAACAGTGTAGTGTGAAAGTGAACTGTGTTTCTACAACAAGAACAGAAAGATGTTGAGAAGAAGCGAGCAAAGGCAAATGGAAGGTTAGAAGCTAAGCCACGAAATTGAAAAAATATCGGAGCTGAAGTTTGCTATAACGAAGTACAGAATGCAATAATGTATGAACAACAGATACGAACAGGGCAAGAAGCGATCTGTAAAATATATTGGCCGTGATATTAGCTGCTGAAATTCCCGAGTAGTATCATTTGGGAACAAATAAGAGACATTTTTACAGCTGTATACCAGAAAACTATTTGTGTACGTGACTAAACAGAACATACAAAATGATATTTGGTACATTTCCTATACTCTTCGTGAGTGAAGAAGTAAAATATCGATTTCGCGAAGTATGGAGTACCAAAGGTGCCCTTAGAGAAAAATGTAATTTAATCACTTGCAAAAAGAAGAAAAATAAAAAAAAATTATTTACTTAAAAATGTCACAATGTTTGTTATATTTGAATAAACAGTAAGAACTGTTAAAGTTGTATATTTTATTTCAAAAAATATTTTGTTGTTTTTCTACACATAATCCCGATAGTAAGCCGAAACAGATTATTCGTAGTTTTCTTCTATTCACTAAATTTTTCTAATATTAATAAAATAAAAGTATTGCTTCAATCTATTATAATTTGTTTTTCATCTACAAAACATTTTATTACAACAGAAAAAGACGAAAATTTTATGATATTGATGAATTTTATTAACATATTTTGGAAATTATGTAAAAAACTTGTTTTAAAAGTGACATAATCAATGTTACAAAATTCAATGGAAAACTCAATCGCCGGTTAGAGAGATTAATTTATTAAAATTTATGAACAATTTCTATACGCAATAATGCTGTGATAATATTTCTGATGTGGGAAAATTTCCCCCGAAACAAGTACAAAACAATGTACCGTATCGACTCAACTAATAAAGGAATTTGATGGAAAATTTGCCATGTGTCTTTGAAATAAAACACAATACTAGTGTTTACTACGCCACAAATATAAAACAGGACNACGCATTCCTTGCTTCTCTTCAGACAACTAAAATAAAAGTTCACAAATTACAACAGTGTTAACAAACATATATAGGTCATGATTTTTAAAACACCTTTTAGATTACAGATTACTGAAAGTTCAAAACATAAAATTCCTTTCCACATTTAACTTGTCATGCATTAAATTACAAATGTTTGTAAGGTTTGAACCTTCAAAACTGTTTTACACATTCGATTGCTTATTATCTAAAAAAATTTTATATTTAATTTTAACAAAATAAAACATTAAAATTAATACAAAAATACTAATTTTGTCACAATGATATTTTTGTTTTTACAAGAATCAGAAAAAAGAGAAAGCGAAGAAGCACAAGCAGCCAGAGAAGGAGGATCGAAGAGAAAGAAATTGGAGATGGTAGAGGCTGACAAGCAGCCTTTTCATAAGGATAAGCCTTCTTCCGAACAATAATTCCTAAATAAATGAAGAAATAACAACACGATAAAAAGATTAATTAAAAAAATTTTAATTACATTTTTTTTTATTTGGCATATTATCGAAATAAATTTTATTATTCGTGCTTAATATAAATGTTTAAATATAGGAACATTCTAATTAAATTTACAATCTGTAAATAGCATTTCTTCAATTAAGTACTGAAAATATTTGATATTAAGGAAAACGATTACAATAATGAAAATTTATATAGAAAAGTTTAATGACAAAATTTGTAACGTTATTTTAAATGATATTATTATGCACATACATCATTATTAGCCACATATTTCAAAATTGTATAGAATTGATATTAAAATTTCGTAATTTTAATCTGGTATATTTCATTACCACTTCAGATTTAATGTCAAATTGTGAAATAAACACGTGAAAATTTCAATTCTTGATAGAATTACGAATTACTAACATAAAAGACGTGTTCTGTATGCCTGTGTGTGTGACTTTTATTTAATCCAGATGAAATTTCGGTTATATTCGTTTTATTTTCTTACAGAAAGTATCGGCTATTTATTTTGTATAAATTTTAGCAATAGAACAAACGTTATATCGATTTTGTATCAGTGATTTAACAAATGTTGCAGTGACGTCAGTGATCACGATGCTGACGTTCATGCTGACGTAATTTTAAACATTTTGGCAAATGGCGTATTTTATACTCACTTCATTAAAATTAAAATTTAAACTTTAAAAAAGATAGCGTCATCGTGTTATTTCTATAAATGTTTTTTACAAATCGTTCTAATTTTATTCAAACGGAAGTAACGATCTAACGAGTATTTAGAAAGAGTTATCGCTCATCTGACTAACATACTGTTCCTCATCTTGACTAACATACTGTACATGCAATTCATCTTTGTTTCACCAACGTGGAATTAAGAAATAGCTTCGTCAAGGGCTGCAGAAAAGGAATATCAACGTCAATCATCCAAACAATATTAAAGAGTCTATTACTAAACGAAAACGGCAAGGAAAACTTTTAAAAAACAGTACAGTGTTTACTCATAATGTAGTGTAAGAAGAAACTTTATAAAGAAAGATAATATTTTTCAATATATAGGCTTATATCTGTTTATGTGTGTATAAGTGAATTAATTCTCTGTAAAACTATATTATTTTGTCCACATCAGGTGATATAATGTTTTGTTACTTTTTATGTTAAAGCAGATAGTATAAACTGTTTAATTTGTAGAAATATTATCATTACGAAATTCTTGAAATATCTGCTTTCTCATATAACAAATGCTTGACAGGGGGATTTTCTAGTAGTTTAATAATAATAATATTTATTCGTTTATTGAAAGTGGAATTACAGAAGGAGTAAGTTTAGCAGGGTTAAAATTTCAAAAGAGAAATAATTATTTAATTCCAGAGTGTTATGAAAATCAGCCCCATAATTGTATTTTTTCATAGATGCAAATAATATTTACCAATAAATTCGTTAAGATGATTACATGAAAATAATATAAACGTATTAGAATACTTTATAATATATTATCGAAATTTTAAATTTTATTTTGGAAAAAACTAAAATTAACTAAAATTCATAGAGTTGGGAGGATCAGAAATTTCGTGTTATAAACCTTAATCTTTTATAAATTTTAATTAAACTTTAAATACAATTCTATAAAGACGAACAAGTTTATTAAAAAAAAAGGAAAAAGGGCTAGTTTTAACGGAAAGCCAATTAATAAAATTTTCCTTAAAATCAGTTTAAAACACGATTCTCACGAGTTGGGTTCCTCATTGAGATGAGTAAATCTCTGTCTCACGATTGTGTCACCCGTCACTTTATTGTTCCACAGAGATCGTCACCTCTAACGAAATCGGAAAAAGGGCCGAAAGGAGCCCTTCATATAAAAAGGCCGGCACGATGAGTAAGATCGAGGAAGTTATTAATTGATTGTGTGTGTGTGTGTGCCGCACGTTTACCTCTCGCCTAAGTTGTCTCCGAGACAGTGTTCCTGTTCGTCAACCAACACCTCCTTCTCACCTACTGAACTCTAAGATATCAACAATTTACCTACATAACTTCGAAGAAAACTGTTCCGGAATGAAAAAGGATTTGCGATATGTAAAAGCTAGCAAGACATTTGATCGACATCGCGTATATTTGCCGCGACCATCGGTAGTAATTTTCAAATTATAAATGTTACCTTACAATTTAATGCGCGTATTAAATTTAATGCAATTCAAAATTAAATTTTAGAAATGTCTAAATTTTCAAAGTTGTTTTGCTTAATTTAACGAGTGTTTCGCATTACGAGTAATATTCTGAAACCAATGCTCGTTAAGCGAGGATTCACTGTATTTTATATAGTGAATGCATATAAAATGTTGTCATTTCTGGTTTTGAATAAAACTGAAATTAATAATTATTTTGAATATACAGGATTTTCCCATTTACGTAATCGTATTACTCCTCCTGAATTGTAAATATAAGAGAAGTGAATTCCTTAATATTTATTATATAAAAGCGCATAAAATGCTTTACATTTTACAGTAAATATCGATCAATGATTCGAACTGTAAGTCTCATAACCTGTGTTGAATGGTGCACTACACGCACCATTTGGATAGTTATTCCGTAAATCTATATGTTTATAATGTAAAGATAATACGATATATAAATATTAATTTTGCATCAAAGCCCAACCTTCAATTAATTCGTTAATTTGAATTTTAAACGTAATATAAACGTATTAATAGGAAAAAGTAAAATGTTTGCATTTTTTGTGCAAACCCGTTCTCTGTATTCAACCTTTGCCTTTATCAATAGGAATATCAATTATAAAAGTAATAATTGTGAAGAATGATTCTCTTAAAAATTAAACGTTGTTGTAATTAAAATTTTATATTATTCACACTTATCATAAGTTATTAATTAACTACACTGATGAATTTATTAATGATAACGTTTATCCCATTTTATAAATGTTTATGAGTGATTAATTGCAAAGGTTAAATACAGAGAACGGGTTTTCATAGAAAATACAAAGAAACGTAATTAATTTCAAATTTTTGAACGAACGTCAAACAAAACCAATTGAAAACAACAAAAATTTTCCAGCGCCAAAAAAAAACAATAATATATATCGTTTTTGTTTCAATTATTTTTAGGTTCAATGACATGCATCATTATATAATCATGCACTTAATATAATCAAAACATAACAATCAAGAAATTACATTATTTCGGCGCATTGTTGTTTTCTGTTTTAACGATATTTCTACTCGAAATTAAAAGACTAAATAAGATAATTAAATTAAAATAAGTAATATAATAAATGGTACGTGAAATCTTTCATTTTATCTGTATAATACATTTAAAATTTCCCGAACTGTTTTATTAAAAATTTCAATATTATATCGAAGATATAATTATATGTAAATATTATGAACTTTTTAAACATATTATAATATATAACAATAATTAATACTATCGTAAATAATTTTAATTTAACCTTTTCACAAATTATTTATTGTTATTAAACGAATTATTTTAAAAGGACCGAAAACATCAATGCCCGACATGTGGCAAGAAATGTCTTCATAAACAGCATTTGGAAAAGCACATTCGAACTCATACGGGCGAAAAGCCGTTTAAATGCGATTTGTGCGAAAAAACCTTTTCGGATAAGAGCAATTTGATACATCATACGAAAGTGCACTCCGATGAAAGCCGTTCAAGTGCGAGTACAAGGGCTGTGAAGAGCGTTTTAAACGGAAATATGAAATAAAACAACACATGTACTGTACATATGGCATTCCGATGAGATTTTATCTAAAGTAAATATTACCACGAGTTTCTATATTTTCATTTTAGTTTTATTTTTCAAATATCAAAGCGGTAAAAGTTATAAAATAAACAGACAAAACATCAATATACAAAATAAAATAAAACCTTCAATTAATGTTTCAAACAATACTCGATGCAACTGTGTTACTTTACACGAAGAAATATTAAAATAATAATATTAATATGCAACTGTAAATAAAACTATTGTTCTTTTGGCACTTGAAAATTTTCATTGTTTTCTATTCGTTTTGACGTTCGTTCAAAAACTTTAAATTGATTACGTTTCTTTGTATTTTCTATGGAAACCCGTTCTCTGTATTCAACCTTTGCCAATTAAGCACTCATAAACATTTATAAAATGGATAGACGTTATCCATAATAAAATCATCAGTGTAGTTAATTAATAACCTATTATAAGTGTGAATAATATAAAATTTTAATGACAATAATGTTATATTATTAAGCGAATCATTCTTTACACTTATTACTCTTATAATTGATATTTTTATTGATAAAAGCAAGATACGTCTTCGTGTTGTTATTTTCTAATTTATTATTTGCATTTTATAAAGTGTAAACCCCAGAAAAGCTTTCTTTATTAAAATATAAATTTTCGTCTACAAGTACCTATCTTCTAATATCAGGACTTATTATAATGGCTTTACAGATAATGCTACAGAGTTTCAGAAAAGACAATTTTTTATTTTATTTAATATTTTATTTTTTATTTTATTTTTAAAAGTTGTTTTCTATTAAACTCTGTAGCATTATCTGTAAAGCCAGTATAATAAGTCCTGATACAGTAGAACCTCGAAAACTCGACCTAATGTGGATCGAAGGGTGGCCGAGTTTGTGAAAATGCCGAGTTATCGGGAATGGGGTTAAAAAAAATAAGTACGAGTATTTCCTCAGAAAATACTGTACTGTACTTGTACAGTATTTACTTGTACAGAATATAACAGAGAATAAACTGCCCAAATACCCTTAAACAAAGGAAAAGTACGTCCTTTATGAAGGCATAGAGCCACTACATGAAAATGAAAATTAATGAATACACTGTGTACAGTAATTTACCTGATAAGACAGACCTCANATTCAAAATATATTAATGTTTATCGACCATCTTCGCTCTGTATTTACTGACAAACATCCGAAGTTGTAAACACTGTCTATCTGTTCCATGCGCTTTTAGAATAGACTTTCTATTTATGTCACACACTTATTAATTTGAT